CCCGTTTCTTTTACATATCCCGCTGCTTCTTCGCTCCTATTAGTCACAGCGCGATGTTTAAAAACCTATATATAGCCTTCCTCAATAATTGTTCTAACTAAAACAAAAATATTTTTTTAATTCGAACCAGTAGTTCGTGAGATTAGCGCGTTCGAACAAACATACAAACTTTTCAGCTTTATATATTAGTATTTATTAGTTTATATAGAGGAATAATAAAATGAATTTTTTGTGAAATATTTCGGTCTTGGTAAATCTAGATATTAATGGGGGGTATATTGAAATTCCACCCGGGACACGAACCACGTTCATAAATGAAAAAGCCGTCAAGTTTAATCGCGTTTGGGGTCTAAGTCTTTGGATTTCCGAATATCCAAATCCAAAAATAAAAAAAATCGAGGTAGGCTTTAGGATATGAGACGAGGCTGCTATTAATAGTAAAGAAGAAACAGGGAAATGTGGAAAAACGGGGACAATTTTTCATCTTTTAGGGCGTGCGTGCACTGCGAAAACGATTCACGATATCCAAAATATATCTACGAATGATTGCATATGCATGATTTAAATGATAAGTCTATCTATTTAGATTAGGAACAGTCGGGACGCCACTGACGTCATGGGTAACAGGTGAATTTTATAAGGATAAGGAGGAGGTTTGCATAAACAAATTTTAATGCCTGAAATATTCTACCCGGAAGAAGTCGCTGGCACAGCTAGTTTATTGATAAGGGTGAATCATTATTTTCGTTACAGTACACAGAGGACAGACTTCGAGTCTCAGACTAAAATAAATTAGGCAGTTTGATAGGTATTTTTAGGTTCCATCCTACGCTACTCTTTGATGTGTTTTCGTGAAAATACATTTTGTTTGGGTGGGCCTGTTGACTGCAGATTGGAGCAATCTGGCGAGGGGCCAGCTTCTTCGGTTCCGACGAGACGGTGACATTTGGTGACATCCGATATTATTATCGAACATAATGATAAACCGATGGAAAAGTTGTTTAGTGTACGGTGCAGTCAATTCTAGAACGAATGAAAATTGTCATTTTTTATGTGAATCTACACTAATATATAATCTATACTAATATTATATAAAGCTGATGAGTTTGTTTGTTTGTTTGAACGCGCTTATCTCAAAAACTCAGTTTTGTAAAAATAATTTTCATGTTGGTTAGACAATTTATCGAGGATGGGTTTTGGCTCTGAAACATCTAGAAAACAACTAGAAACGAATAAATTGAGAAAAGGGTCGGCCACGCATTTTTTATTATGGATGGATGGATGGATATGATATGTGTGTAGATTTTATTTTTTGTAAAATTAAGAATTTAAATGACAAGTTTGTTTATGGATGGGATGATTATCTAAGTTCATGGAGGTTTTATAGAGGTTAGATTTTCAGGTGTGAAAAATTAAGGTGCCAGTAATGACGTGGTAATTATCACCGAATGGATGTTTAAGAAGAGGTGGCAAAACGATATCCGAAGAAGAAAATAAACTTTGAATTTTCTTATACATATAAGGTAGTTAGGATGATCAAATAGTATTAATATTTTTAAGCTAATCAAACGTTATATTGAATCAAGGAACAGTTTTCCTTTGTCAATCCATGAGTAATTGTATACAAATAATTATTTATTACTTCTCCTTAACTATTAATGTAGGTAGCTGAGTACACTTATCAAATAACCGCTGAACTTCGTATCGGTTCTTCAAGAAAAATTTCCGTAAAACTTCCAAGAATGTCTCGTGCGTAGATGAAAATAAAACGCAATTACGTTATCAAATCTATAAAAACATAGGCTGTACCATATCGTAATACAAATAATAACGTTTAGTGTCGTGTTATCAATACTTATGGAATATTTCCCTTTAAGGGACTGGAATAGTACAGGGAATAGAATTATTCCACGATTACTGTGCGATAGTCTCTTCTGAACAAAAGAGAAGAAATAAAACTTCGTTGCAGTAGGCGTTTGGCTTTAATCATCACATTCAAAAGAATGTAAATATGACAACTTTTAATTCAAACCAGTAAAAAGGTACTTTGAGCTTTTGCGCATTCTATAATAACTTATGTCCACTACTTACAATGTTTCTCAAATTAAGGACAAAAAACTTTTAATCTCGAAAGTCACAGAAGATACCTATATCGATCAAAAGGATCAAATCGAATTAGACTAGGATTATAATATAATTATAGTAGTATAATGATCTAGGTGCCAAAATTTGCTCAAAAATGTATTCTGCTTTCTAGCTTTTTTATTTTGTAATAAATATACTTAATTCGTTTTTAGGTGGTATGTGTTGGTTTGATTTCAACGATTTCGATTATTTTTAATAAAACACTTTAACAGTTTAAAACGCGACATATTAGTTAAACTTATTTGAAAATGATTTTTAACTCCGGCCCAACGTTTCGGATGCTTTGCAGCAGCCGTGGTCACGGGGAGACAGTCTCCGTCGGGCCCAAGTTGAAAATCATTTTCAAATAAGTTCAACTAATATATATCGTGTTTTATACCGTTAAAGTGTACTACTCGCGTAAACTATAGACAGTATTTGATTTCGATTCTTGTGAATTTCATACCAAATGTCTGAAAGATCGGGTCATTAAATGGGTACCCATTGTCACAAAAATATGCTTTCTGTCCTAACCATTGTTTTTTTTCTTTTTCACAAATAAAATGGACAAAGAGCATATATTATTGTGTCTCTAGTCTGTAGTAATATCCGAGTTATAGACGAATATAGAAAGAACCCATTATAAATCATATATAAAATATACATAATACAGTGTAGAAGCATATTCTATTCTGCCTGTAGTTTACGCAAGTAGTACACATTTAAATAAAACATGGTTTAAAACGCGATATATATATTAATTAAACTTATTTGGGGAGACAGCCTGTGACAATGGCTGTAGTAAAATAATTTTCAAATAAGTTTAACTAATATATATCGCGTTTTAAAACGATAAAGTGTTTTGACTTAAACAAGTTATACATATAAAATATTCGCATTACGTCGCCCATCCCGAAACCAATGTAATGCAGACTTCGTGTACCTTGCTACCACTTGAAAAATAATAAAGTTTAAAAAGTTATTAAGATTTTACCCTTAACCTTAATAACGAGAGGATGTAATGATAAAATATTATGCGACTTTTCTAAGGGCAACAAGGTCAGAGGCAATTGTATTTAATCTGTATTTAGTTATATAATATTATACTTATAATTCTAATATTATAAATTTGTTTTTTATACGGAACGTATATCTATTTCTATATGGTTATCAGCAAAAAATTTATGCCAATTTTCTCTATAGTAGTTAGTACTATAAGACAACATTTTCCGAAGTTTTTAATTCTCATAATTAAGGATCCAAGTAGCGAAATACTCATATTGGAAATATTCAAAAAATAATAATCATCTGTCTTAATATTTGTGAAATCAGCTGTTTCAGTGGTCGTTATATTCTTAGGCGTTTGGCTAGTCTGAAACATACATACATATATAGACAAAAACGTCATAACCCTTTCTTTCGAGTTCGTTATAGTTAAGTAAACCAATCGTCATTCTTCATAATATCAAATGGGACTCTCGACTATGATGATGCAATATTCGATTAATAGGGCATCATGTTTAAAGTTCACCACCTCCATGGCTCAATGGTTCAACGCATTGTGTTGCATTGCTACGATCACGAGATATCTGGGATTCGAACCCTGGAATAACATAATGTGTATATTAGTTTTGATTGTGCAGGGCAAGTGAAAATGAAAAAATACAAATACTGTCTGTAGTTTACGCGAGCAGTACACATTTAAATAAAACACTTCAACGGTTAAAACGCGATATATTATTTCAACTTATTTAAAATATAATTTTATCTACAGCCCGAAGTTTCAGATGCTTTGCAGCCGTGGTCACGAGACTTACTTAAAAAATATAGTTTAAAGTTCAGTCGAATGTATTCAATCAAACATATTTCTTTTTCATTCTAAATTTGATTAGTTAGAGAAATTATGTTTTATAAAAAAGGATACTGTTTACAAAGCAAGTTATATATAATCAAAAAAACTATTCGCATCTTGCCAAGCTTTACTAGCCGTCCACAGTTAGTAAAAATATGCTGTTATAAATGACTGCGTGCTCAGCTCTAGTCAAACCAAGTCGGTATAAACAAGGCACAGCAAGCTTTTGTTGGTTGTAGTCTTGATGATTGAATTCTAATCTCATGGCATAATCTCTAGTCTTTCTAGGCAGCTCTATAGCATGGGCGGCCATTTTTGTAATCTTTTGAATATATCAAACAAGGTGGACATAATGATACAATTTTCCTGGAAAAACCTTGCACATTTTACTATGCAATATTTGACATTTAGTATCATATATAAGGTCAATTATGTATATAATAATGTATTGTAATACCATATCGAATGTAGGTACTTACTACACTTCAATTGAAACAGCTGTTGTAAGCGTGTAAATAAAAATGTACTCGCTACAATTTGTATCCGATGACTTCGAATCGCCTAACTGAATGCATGAATGAGATAACTACGTCAGGCTAACTACAAGTTCAATAAACATTATCAAATCGGATGCTATCGAATTATAAAAACAATATTAAAATTCATGAGATCATCGATCTCTTATCGGCTATCTACGGGTAAAGCAAACAGCGTGTTTATAAACCTCGGTCTCGTAAAATCGCGGTTATCACCAGTACTGACCACATCTTGAATAGTAGCTACGACCGTAGTACAAAGCTAATCTAACAATAATTATCGTAGCGTCAGCGTGTAGCGGATCCTAACACGTTGTTATAGTTTAGGGCAAACGGAATCTTAATACGTCGGTGGAGGCATTTCGCTACTTATACCGCAGCAGCACGGTGCCAAAGTCACTCAATCACGAACAGTCATCGCGAGCACTGTATACACACTCTGTTTGAACTCGTACAAAGTAGCAAGTACCCTCAAAACCAACTCGAAGATGAAGGTTCTAGTGCTTCTCGTGGCGTTTTGCGCTTTCGCTACAGCAATGGTCCCGCGGGACAAGGTACGTCCTTTTTTATTACCAAATATTTGTAATCGCCGCTTTCATGAAACGTAATATTTCTATATATTGACGTTTTTGTTTTGATTTAAAGTATTCTTATGTGCGTAATTTATTATTCGTTATATGAAATACATCATTTTATTGGAAAACAAAAGTGATGCAATCGAAGAGTTGATTTTCGAAACAAACGTACCTAAGTGTGCAGTTTTTTCACCACTGCCATAGGACACGTGTGCAAAAATATAATGGTAGTAGTAGTAGTTACAATACATATTGAACTACTAAATTTGTCTATCTATCTAAAATAAAATAAGAAAGTGTAACCTTTAAAGTAGCCGTATCGTTTACGTATTCAGAGAAAGGCTACCCTTAAATGTGTTTTATTTCAATATGATAACTCGACTAACAAGATATTAAATTTATCTTCGTTACAAATATTTTTTTATTAATTACCTAGTTAAGTAGGCTTATATTTTAAAACGTTTAATTAGATTACCTAAAAAATAATCTTGCTATCGTATTATTATTTCGGAGGGTAGCTATAAAGAAAATGTTTATACGCATCTAATCTTGAACTCACATTAATTACCCTCTAAGCTATAGTTAGATGAAATTAAAAATTAAATGAAGTTAATTAAGTAATAACTACGCGAGAAATGTATTTTCTAGTTTATTAATACGATTCTGTCTTAGTTTATTAGAAAACTTTCCAAACTTAAGGGTACTTTAATAGCTCATGTAAATTGTAATTACATAAAAATTTCAATTATATAATATAGTAGATAACTAAGTTCGTAAATAGACCATATATGAAACCTTTATCTAACAAACGACAACAGATATATAGTAAGTTTTAATACATATAAACAGAAACGGGACATGGTTTTATGATGATGTTTTAACGATGTTTTAGTTATGCGTGGATAAATCAATAACTGTCTGGGATTTAGAGGAATGCTGGTGTCTGCAGTACAGTATTACAGTACAGATTAAGATACAAGCATTAAAGCTAAGTAGTAAAGCGTTCTCGGTAATTCATTTCATATCGCTTCTGTTTAGACTTTTAAAACAGACATTTACTAACAAAACACTATATGTTTGTCTACCCGCAGATCTGTTTAATTCGTGATCTTTCTAGAAGTTCTTGTTTGTGACCATCCGACTTTTTTATTTATTGCCTAACAGGACTGCCTAGGCTAAGTTATACATATAAGTAATTTGTATAAAAAAACTTTGTAACCGTTTTCGAGATTTTCAATTCAGTTTTCTCGAATTATCTTCTAGATAAAGTTATTTTTCTGTTATAAGATGACGTAAAGGGGAGCGCCGCGTGACAAATGTCACGTTGACTACCATCGCAATAACTGCATGTGTTAGCGCAGGTCAGTCCTAACAATTGATTTCGTATTTTGTAATACTAGCGTCTCGGCCCGGCTTGGCTCGGCGGCAATGCTGTTGCAATGTGGCACTGCAGAAAAACTGTGAACGTTATATAAAAACCTTCCTTCCTCTATCTATTAAAAAACTGCATCAAAATTTGTTGCGTAGTTTTAAAGATTTAAGCGCACATAGGGACAGTAAACGCGACTTTTTTTTAAATACTGTGTAGTGATTTCAATATCTCTCCGACCTACTTACGTAGTATTTCCATCACGACCTAGTACTTAGGGAGAGTCTATGCGTATAATTGCATAGCAATGGCATATATTGGTGCAAGTAAAGAAAACAATAGGTCGAAACATTTAATTTAACCAATGGCTATTTTTATTTCTCCCCGTCCGAATATTTCGTAACTTTCCACATGTCAACATCACGCGATTCCATACCGCGCTTAAGGGCGTGACTTTATTTTTCTGTCAAGCAGTGACTCACTATTTGAGCGCTTCGTAATATTGAAGGACCCGCTACCGACAGACACCAAAATGGTCAACGACCTACTACGCAGTTTCCTGTTTACAAGTTCATAAAAATACGATACACGACGTGATTGCTAGATACAGTGGATACGTTTCGAAGTGGTCCATTCACGTTACGGCATTTTGAGACGCAATTTGTTGTGTAGCGCAAGCGCATAAGTGGCATAGTTCACGGTGGAAATACAAACATAAATCTTATTATGTATGAAGAGGACGGCTTAAATTTATTCTTAAGTTTACTGTGTAGCCTATTGATGAAATATTATTTTGAACCTTATTTATGTAAATTATAACATACTAGCGTTACCCACGATGTAGTCCTCGTCCCGTCGTTCTTACAAGTAAATCTTAAAACGCGTACATTTTTTTACATCCTTTAATGATGGTTTGTTGAACAGTGTTCGCAAAGCACGCAAAAGCATCTAAAGTTGAATAATTATTATTTCACATTTTTCACTGTTTCTTACTATTGGCAGCAGCGTAGCCTAACATCTTGCTCGAACACACTTTTTCAATTCAAATGAGTAGTTCCCGATATTTACGCGTTCAAACAAACAAATTCTTAAGATTTATAATACCAATATAGATGAGGACCCAAATAAGATCACCTACATGGTAGGACAAACGATTGTAAACAAACTCGCGAGTTGTTTTTAAATTTCGGTGCCCACAACCCACGACCGGATACGCTCAAGGACAGAGCTACGATCTCGTATGATTCGTGATAAACTTTACTAGTTTCTGGACATGCTTGTGCGATAGCGTGAATAAACATAATTATAAATATGTGATTGTGAGTTTCATTGAGTAACAAATCATAATAAATAACTGTTCTGCTGTTTCTGTAGACAAGGTAATTTCCTCATCGGATATGATAACGAAATTTTACTAGATCAATTATAACGGCCCCCAATACTACGTGCCTGTTAAACATATATACTAGTTTTTAATTTTTTTTGGTTGAAGTATGAGATTTTGCAGAATTAAGTAGTTTAAAACACTTTAACGGTTTCAAACCCCATATTTTATTTTAACTTTTTTTAAATTTTTTTTTCCCCCCCCCCCCCCCCCCTCCTTTTTCCCCCCCCCGCCCCCCCCCCCCCCCCCCCCTATTTTTTAAATATATTTATATAAATTTTATCTCTTCCACCCCTTTCCTTTTTTTTTTTTTATTTTCCCCCCCCCCCCCCAACCCCAGATTGATTTATATTGAAGGGTTTTTATTATTTACTACCCTCAATTATAATATTAACCAGTAAACTATTTTAAATTTTACGGTTCAAATAAATGTATGGATTCATTTGTCATAAATCGTTTTATGTAGACTAGACCTAGGATCGTTCAGTTGGTTAATTATAGATACAGTATAGATAAGTTAGTATGTAAGTTTTTTTTTGCAGTCTATGTGGTACTTATTTACAGTCGTTTTTGTAATTGTAATTAAAATGTATTATGGAAAACTCTATTGCGAACTTACAATTTGTTCTTAAATGTAAGTGAGAGTGTATTTTTCCAAGAGCTTGGGGCTTACACATTTATAACCCCATAGCTATTAGTGCACGCGGTGGCTTTTCCAAAGCGAACATAGAAAAAAAGAAAATTTTGTACATAGAATATAAGTGTAACGTAGTTAGTAATTTTTTTCTGTTTCAGAGGGAGGCATCTGAAGGGGAAGCACCTAAAATCTGCGCCCCTTCGACTCCGTGTGCTTGGCAAATCACTAACAAGCAAACCAACATGGTCGAGCAAATTATTCCCAACACCTAGTAAGTAAAACTTTAAACAAATCAATTTAACAGTTTAAAACGTGATATATTAGTTAAACTTACTTGAAAATGATTTTTAACTTCGGCCCGACGTTTCGGATGCTTTGCAGCAGTCGCGGTCACGGGGAGACTAATATATCGCGTTTTAAACCGTTAAAGTGTTTTATTTAAATGTGTACTACTTGCGTAAACTATAGACAGTATTTAAGTAAAACTCTAATTTAGACTTTAAGTAATATTTGGGCTGAGACAATTGTGGAAAACAATTATTTATTACATTAAGGAAATACTCAGGGTTACTTATACGCGTATAGTTTTTAATAAGCAATGTTATATTAACATGCGTGACAATCAAATTGATGTTGTAATCAAATGGATAAAAATATACATATTACATAATGGAACTAAAATTATCTTTATGTAAATAGGACCTATTCTCTTCTGTGAAAAGTTCTACACAAAATATAGCGAAGATTATAACATTAAAAAATCGTTTCTACATCGAAAAAAATCGACGATGACGTGTAGGACACAGTAGCTCAGTTAGAGAAGCGGCATGGCACGCCCTGGATCGCCAAGTCCGACCCGTGTCGTAATTTTTTTAATCTAAAATTAAAACCCATATACTTTTGCCTTTGCTAATCAGAACAACCTTGAAATCTTTAATGGTGGTTTTTAACCATTGCAATTGGTGGTAGGCATATAAAAATTCACGAACCACTGTCTACAGATGCATCGGGTTTCGCTTTCTCTCTGTGGATTTCCGAATATTTAAAGCTAATCTGTCCTCTTCTATCATTAAAAAATTTAAAAAATCCTTTTATTTAAATAAAACACTTTAACGGTTTAAAACGCGATATATTAGTTACACTTATTTGAAAATGATTTTTAACTTCGGCCCGACGTTTCGGCTGCTGCAAAGCATCCGAAGCGTATTAAACCGTTAAAGTGTTTTATTTAAATGTGTACTACTCGCGTAAACTATAGAGTCTATAGTATAGACAGTATTTAATCCTCTTATTTGTTCCAGCTGCAACTGTGCCGTGGGCTTTAACTGCGAGTTGGTTAGCGAGAAGAGCTTTATCAGCGGCTTCGAGTACCGCTGTCTAGAATCCGGAGGTAGCTAACGACCAACATTTAAAACCAGAGAGTGGTACTGGAGGGACTAATCTTTTTACACCTTGAGCTATATCATCCGACGCCATACTGTCAAATACAGTAACAACAATTTACCATTCAATACAAATCATGT